ATTGAGAATAATTTTGCTTACACTGTCAGTTAGAGTTGGTAATTAAATATTAATTTTAATGTATTCCTTGATATGTGGGTTGTTTTTGTTTTGTTTTACATTGCGGTTTGTTGTTTTTTCCAAACCATTAAGTTGTCTTTTTCCAGGAGTGTTGGCTTGTCATTATAAACTTTATGTACCCAATAGAAAATGTATTTTTCTAGAACACTAAGGACACTTCTAAGTATCATTAAGCTTACAATATTTTTACTGTCAACACTTTCAATTAATTTTTATTATGCATCTATCTCAGTACAAAAACTGTTTATCCTTTTATCAATATGACACCACTCACATGTGAGCCTTTTCCAAAGTTAAGATTTTAAATACATGTTTAAGGCTTTTAGTGTCTTATCCAGCACTGAAAGTACGTGAACATGTGTAGTCTCTTATATCGATCAAGAGCAGCAGAGTGGAAGTACTGTGTGTGAGATAACCGTGTTGGATCCGTTGTGACATAGCACTGAAAATTATGCTTTCATAGATTTTTGTTTTAAAATAAGTTCCTTTATCTCTTTAATGTTCTTTCATTTTCTTTTTCAGAGTCCAGGCTGTTGTTCCAAATGCCAGCTCTATCATTAGCTAAATTTAAAATATCATAGGGATGATGACTGAATGAATTTTTTCAAAGATAGAGAGACTAAAAAGAAAATCTTAAACAATTTTGTGTTTTCCCTTGACATTGCAACAGGATTTGCCTTTTACATTTTCTCTTATGTCTTTCAAATATTTTGAAGTTTTTTAAGTCAAACACAACAAAATTCCATATACCAACTCTGAATTTAGAAATACACTCCTCTTAAAATAGTAAAAACTTTGATTACATTCTTGATGATTCAAAGTAGACTAACACTGGGTTTTGTTATACTGTCAGTTGCTGAGTTTCTCATCTAAAGCATCTATTTAACAACAGAACTGTGGAATTTATGTTTGTATTAAATAATGTTTGCTGATAGTATGCAAACTTGTCCTGCCACTAATGCCTGTTTAATATTTAGTTGTCACTTAAAGTCATAGAATCACTTAGGTTGGAAGAAGCCTCTAAGATCAACAAGTCCAACTGTAATTCTTGAATTAATGTAATTTCTTTATTGAAGGCCTGTGCAGCAGAACCTGAGAAGCATCAGGCTTGTTGAGAGTAAAGGAAGATTATTTTTTTGTCTCTAAATTCACGTTAATGTGATTTTGAAATGGTACCTCTCAATTTTCCACACATCTATTTCCACAGAACACTGTGGCTCTTATAAATAAGCAGAGTGCTTTCCCTTCTGTAACACTCTGCAATCAGCTTGGACAGTCATGCTCGTGCTAGCTTTAGTCTCACTAGCTGAGGTACGAGCAGTAACACAGCTCTGGTAACCTATGCCTCAGTTAGGAGTATGTAGGCTCATTTTGTTGTACATTGGCTGCTTACTCAAATTAATTGCCTGCAGTGACATCCATGCTTATGTATTTTAACTGTTTCGTTATATAAGGCTGACAAAATTAAGTGTATTTGAAGAATATCTAACATGTTGCAGCCATATCTCCTAATTGCAGAGCAGATGCAGCCTGTAAGGCAGTGAGCTCTACACTGTCATTCCTCTGAGAGATGATTAGAAAGGTCTGCTCTTCGTTGATAGTTTTAGGATGATTTTTTATCAGAAATTTGCAGGAATTAGGAAGTGCTCAAGTGCACTATATGTAAACTAAATACTAAAAAGCTAAAATTAGCAAAGGAAACATGAAGGTAATGAAAGAGAAGCCTTGCTCCTGGCAGTCCAAACCTTAAGCATTTAGGGAATACTAGTGAAATCAAATTATCAATGCTCGAGTGTATTTTATGTAAAAAATCTCAATCCTACAACCAGATCCTTAAGGAAGGAACTCTCTCTTAATTTTTATTAAAAAAACCAGCACACTAATTCTTGATTAAATGGAACTTGGAATGTGTTTGAAAAAAACAGGTAAAAACAGACATGGTGAGTAATACAGCATTTGTCAGATGCCGGACTGGTAAATCAGTAAAAGGGTAAATACACTTACAGGAAATGTCTTCATTCTAAAATCTCCCATAGGATGATGGAGCCTGCTGTTTACATAATAGGGAGTAATTGTTAGCAGTGCACAGGAATGGACAGCTTGTCAGGTTATTGGCATTTGACACACACTGCTCTTATTGTGAGGTACTTCTGTAAACTCATTAAACTCAAGTTTCTTTCAGGTGTTTTAAGAATAGCAACAATGAACACAGTTTAGAGATACCAGAGCAGAACCATTGCCAACAGCAATTCAGAAGGCCACATACACACTGCTCGCTCAAGATAGGAGTTCTTACTTTTGCTGGACATTTTTGCAAGCTGCAGAAGCATTTCAGTAGCATGCTGAAGATGCAAAAATTTCAAATCCTGTTTTGTAGCAAAATGCTAAATTATTTTAGATCTTTGACCTATGCAAATTATATTTCTTTTCATTTTTGTTCTCCTTTTGTATCTGAAGATTTTGGATTGCTCTTTGCAAAGTACTTTTATATTTTCAAAAGTGAAGCAAAGTTTCTGTGAAGAAGCTGAAGTGCAAAATGGTAGCATTTGAGTACTCAAGGTGCTCAGTTTGAGTACTACTGCCATTCTTCTCAGACTTTGATGTGGTTGTTTTCGTACAATAAAGAGGGAGAGCTCAGTCTGCCTAGTCAATAATTAGACTGGCACTTAAGGACAGATGCCATGAAGGGCATATTTTGGCTGCATATTCCTGCTGTTAACCCCCAGCAGGCTGGTTTAGTGAGCTAACTCAGAGGATTTTTCCTCTAAGGAACCTGGTGGCAGCTAGCCATTAAATCAGTTTAGAAGTGGTGTGAAATTATAGCTTGGGGCTGCAGTGACATGTGTTTAATCTAGCAATGCCAGTTTAAACACAATCCCTAGATATCACATCCTCTCACTTCTCCTTTCTCTTTCCTCCCTTTCCCTCAGTTCTTCTGCACACGTTAGCTCTCATTCTCAGAGCAGAGGGAAGTAAGCAAAGCAGCTTTTTCCCTTCTTTTCCACTTTTATTTTTTTTCTTTCCTTTTTTTTCTTTTTCCTGGTTTTTTTCTGTATCTTCTTTTTTTCTCTTTTTCTTTTTTTCTCTTTTATTTTCCTTTTTTTTCTTCTTTCCTTCTTTTTCCTTTTTTTTTCCTTTTCTTTTTTTTTAATATTGCCCAGGGATACCTGTTACAGTTTATAATTCATGCAAATCCACCTTGACACAGCTCAGTGATTAACACAGAGGTGGGGAACCACCCTCATAAGTCCACCCCCAGGACTGCCTCTCTCTGAAGCAGCTTTCCCCATAGCGTATTTAGCACTCAGCTGGAGTATTGGTACACTTGCTTCTCCACACATAATTCACTCTGTAGGCCAGTTTAGTCACTTCTTAAAAATGCACACATTACTCTAAATTTTATCCTTTGACTTCTATGATTTGGGAATGATTTGGTAAATGCTGGGAAGTGCAGAAGCAGGTAATGCACTTCACATCTAGTACTTGCAGCTGTTCTGCTTACAGGATGGGACTATTAGAAATTAAATGAGCAAGTTGGGTGCCTTGCTTCTGCTAGAGAGTAAGGAAGTAGGTGCCTGACTTGCTTAGGAGGTACTATAAATCCCACTGTTGCTCCTGTCCTGTAAATGTTTAAGCCAAACCACTCAGATCAGGCTACTGTTCTACTGAAAAAAGCATTAAAAAAATGTGCACTTTTTGGTGTACTTGTCTGCCTTCACCCTTGAGATACTAGTGTATGTAGGTGAGCAATGAGCATGTGGCTGTTAAAATATAGATATGGTAACTCCTTTCATGGCATACTTGGACATCTATTTTCAGGATAAAAGTAATGATTTCTAAGTGTTGGTCATGGATGATGTTGTTTTGAAACTTAAAGTGGTTTTTTTTCCCTCCCACTGTCTGAAAACTGACATACAGTTTTTCCTCATCACAGATCATGTTTTGAAATAATACATGCATGTGATGTCTTTTGATACTTAAATAATATCTATTCTAGGGAACTAATTTGCAAAAACAAAAACAACAAAAAAAAAAGCTTTCCTTTTAGGTCTGAATTTTAATCCAAATATTTTATGATGATATTTTCTCAGCAGGAGGAAGACAAGTATTGCAGTGGTGCTGCTAGCCTCAATTTTTATTGACCAATTACCGCAAACACTGCAATTTATAGCAGGAGCACAGTCAGTGTTTAAAGTTCACTGGGGCTTCAGCTTCCCTGGCCATAAAAGTAATTTATATCTATGTGAATACCACATAGATTTTTTCCCCTCAGCTTAACAAAGCTTAACAAAGGAAGGCAGGGCAAATACAAGACACCTCCTGCCTGCAGACACACAGGCTTTGACAGGGCAGCTGGAGTGGGAATGGGAAGTCAGTTGGAGATGTCCAGGTGGAGGCTTGGCTGGTGCTCCCATGGACAGCATGGGCTGCTTGGCTGCATCTCTCCCAAGTCTGTTACCAGCAGGCTTTAATTGCATGGTGCTACTGTCAAAATCATGACTTAACAGAAAGAAGTGCCTGTGTTTGGTGTGAGTGTGCTTCATCATTTATTTTAACGTAGGTGCTCAGAAGTGCAGAGGGGTTTGTGGTTTAGTTTGGGGGGTGGTGTGTGTGCATTGGTATTTGGAGTGCAATGAAACCTGCCAAAGGAGGTGTCTGCTGTGTGTGTGGGTGCAAGTCAGGCTCCTGCTATTTTGTGAAGTCATTAAACAAGGAACACTTTGGGAAAGAACACCAAAGAGCTGCAGATTATGGGAATGCCGCTGAGCAAAAAGCCTCGATCTTTGTGTGCCTTGTTTGTTTAACACTGGAGAAATAATAAAACCTAATTTAAAACTTAAAAGATTTTCTTAATTTTAAACCATTTAAAGTTATCCCATTGACAAGTAGCACTTCAAAATTAGAGCAAAAAAAGATGATGTTTGTAAAAGCTTCTAATTTTATTGCATTTCAGATCGCCTTTATTTTGCAATTCTGTACCAAAAGCCAAAGAGTGGAGCTGCAAACACCCATTATTTCTGCATAGATGATGAACTTGTGTATGAGAAGTAAGTACCAACTTAGGTTTTTTCACTGTTTTTTTTCCAGAAATAAATTAGTCATTACAACAGCAGTGAGGAATCAGTCTCATTGGAGATTTAGTTACATGAGTTTTGTCTTCTAAGACTTACATGCCATGATGATTTATAGGCCTCTGAAGGGTTTCTTGCTTTCCCATCAGGATTTCTTAAAAACATTTTCAAAGCAGAAGCTTTCATTGTACCTATTGCTGTTAGAAGACATAGAAACATGATGCAGACATATAAATTCAGAAGTGCACGTTGTACTGCCTTACTAAAAGGGGTGTCCTTGTTTCTCATATATTAAGTGGAATGCCTGAACTTCCTAGAATCATAGAAGAAAATGGCAGAGTCGATTCAAGCCTTTATGAGCTGACAATGGATATATTATTTCCCCTGTAGTGACCATTGTTTGTCTTTTACATTATGTGGAATGTTGCTAGTTCTTCAGATGGTTTTGATCAAGGGCATGCTTGCTGTTTTTTAACACACTAATCAATCTTTATTCTCTGTGTTTTCTTTCCTCTAGCACTATGAATTGCCTCCTTTTAAAGTAAAGCTTATGAGCTCCTTTTAAAATTGAGTTTAAAAGTTTTTTTGTCACAGAGTGATACAGTAGTGAGAAATAGTTCTTAAAATCTGGGTATTGGTTTTGAATAGTACTGTGTGGAAGCAAAAAAAATTTAGTCCATGTTTAAAGATAACAAAACATTCCTCCAACAAAACAGTATGTATTTATGTAAGAAAGCATGCTTGTTTTTAGAATGGTGTACATATATATCACATGTGTATCATTATTCCTTGCTTTATGCATCTTGTTAAAAAAAAAAGGCATTTACAGGGGTCATGTACAATTTTCCCCCTTTCTTCTAACAGCTTCTATGCAGACTTTGGACCGCTCAATCTGGCCATGGTCTACAGGTACTGCTGCAAGCTAAATAAGAAATTAAAGGTAATGCTTGGGGTTTTTTATTCAAAAGCCAATATTACCGGCTTTTTAAAAAAGAAAAACAAATGGGTCAAAATTTGTTTCACTGTTGTTTATATTGTTTAGGTGCTTTCCTGTTTTCCTAATCCAGCTGAATTCTGAATATGAATGATATATTTTAGTGAGCTGAATTTAGGGAGGAGGAGGATCAAGGTGGAAAATCCACTTACTTTTAAGAATCAGAAGATACACAACTGTGGCAGTAACTATCATTAAGCTTCTAGAAAATTAGTTGCTAAATGAATACAGTCTCTTTTATAGGAAAAGCTTATTTCTTGGAATTCTATCTTCTTGGCAATCTGCCAATATTGAGTGAGCTCGAGGGTGTAGTGCTATGTTTTTATTTGAAATGTTCTTTGTTTGACTAAGTCTTCTCTTCTTATGCTGGCATTCTTCAGTAATGAACAACATTTGATCTTTAGTAGCATTGATAGCACTGGCCTGACAGAGGCTGCTCTGCTCACACTGCAGAGTATTTTCTCTTAAGCTCAGTAATGTTTGGGATTAGGCTCTTGATAGAGCATAGTGTCTTTAAAGTGGATTTCTTAAATTAATCAACACAACTGACTACAAGTTAGTTGACCTTCAGTAGATGTTGGAGTATAAAATCTGTTTGGCAGATAAAAAAGCTTATTTTTGTTAATGTCAATCACAGTTTGCCTCTTCAAAAATACTTAGATCTTTAAACTGCCACTGAACTGTGAAAAGTGGGAAATATATAGCACATTATAGAATAAGAATGTAATCTTTTTTCGTTCCTTGATGTCTGTCACAGATAATAGTTTGCATAATTCAGACTTGCTTTATTATTCTTTAGATTGTGGAAGCAATTGGCACCCACAGGTGTGATGTTGCTGCTCTGTCCTTACTGGGGCACAAGCAGAAGTGTCTCTGGCTAAGCCTGAGATAAACCTGTTTAGTAGTCCAGGCTGGTAGGTGGAAAACTTCCACATGGGTAACTGGTTTGCCAGAGATGAGATTCTCTGATTTTTGTATACAGGATGCTCTGAAGCAGCACAAGGCTATGTTGCAGTCCCTTTGCATGTGTTGTGTTTGACACGTTAGGATTTCTGGGAACGTATTTCTGCTACTCATCTGGGGTTTTTTTTGGTCTTGAATGCATTGGATCTGGTATCTTGAACAAGTAACATTGCTATTTAAATGCAGAAAATGACATTTTATGATAGCTTAGCAGTTGATCAAAGTGTGTAGTTTCAAGCACATCAGAATTTATTTCAAGGGCCAGTTGGGGGATAACTGCCACCACACATGTATATGTCCTTTCTATGGAAAATGTCATTCCACCCACATTCTAAGATAAATGGAGAAACTGTATGCCAAGCCAATGTGACAGTTTAAAAATTATTTATAATAAAGTTTAGAAATACTTTCAAAATATTTTAATCTAAGCATGATTCTAATCCTTAGAAACAAATACTAGTGGGTTTATCTACATTTGAGTTTGAAAAATGGATGAAAAGGTGTAAACTCTGTAGAATTTTTGCAACTTTAATATACCTGTGATGCTTTTGAGAATGCCACTTTATTTTCTCATAAATGGTTGTCTGTTATAAAAGGCTTGAAGTCAAAAATGCTAACTAGAAATACACATGCATTTAAGAAGAAAAAGAAAATATTTCTGTAATTTTTTTCAAAAATTACTTAGGCTGGATACTGGGGAAAATACTGGAAAAATCTAGGTAGGGATGCAATACAGTTTTCCAAAGTTTCTATAGGACTTCTCTACAGCATTTTTGGTACTTTGCAGCTGGATGAAAGGAGGTAAACTCTACAGTTCCTCTGATTTCATAAAAGAGAGTGTAAAAAGTCTAAAATGCAAAATCATAATCTTGTTCATTTCTTGATACAGTCATTTTCATTGATAAGGAAGAAAATAATTCATTATACTGGCTTTGATCAGAAAAAGCAAGCGAACGCTGCATTCCTCATAGGCTCCTACGCAGTAAGTATTTAAATTTTTACATCAACTGCTGGCTCTGTTCAGCTTTTCATACTCAATTTTTAGAACTTCAAGATAAAAACAATTATTTTCTCTTGAATAATCAACCTACTAATGTAATTAGAGTAATGTATCACATAATAAAAGAGTTTCTAAAGTCTAGCAGGTATGTGAGTGAAGTTGTATGATTTTACGGTTTTTACCTTCCTACTGCCATTTTTGTTCTTAAGAAGTAAGAGCATCCCTGAAAAAAAATCAGTATTAATATTTTCATTTAGAAAAAATAATTGCTTGTTCAAATTTTGCCTTTCCCCGACCACACAACCTCTTTTTCTTTTTTAAAATAGAAAAACAGTATCTTGCACAATGTATCATGTATCATTTGCCAGTGCATATTTAAATAAGCCTTTCCTTCCCCACTGCTTCTTCTCCAATAGAAGGTAATCTCTTCAGTTAACCTGGGAGAAGTAGTGAGAACATGTGATGGGCTTAGAGCTTGTATAAAGTCTGGGAAGGTACAATGTGGCTGGAAAGGTACTAAGCCAAGCCTGTGACTGCAGAGGGGAAAAGGACTGGCTTTACATCACAATTACATGTATTTGGTACACAAAAATGTAGTCAAGGAATAAAATTTGGAATACTTCAGGATGAAAGCTGTGAAACCATATTCATGTTCTGACTTGTAACACACCTTGGTTGTAAACATTTCTCTTGTTTATGGAGTAATAAAATGAAATGAGAAGCTATGCACTTTTTGATGTTGGAGATTTGAGGGACTGAAGTTCATGTAGCCTTAGGTTATTCTTATTTATTGGCTGCAAAGGCTACATACACAGCACTTTCTGTGATGCAGGCAGTCTCCTTGCTGCCTTTCTGCATCATGCAGGATGTTAATTTTCTGTTCCCTGGGGTTTCTCTGTTGTCTATATTCTATAGCACTTTTTACAAATTGAGAACTAAATTTCAAAATGTGTCACTCTTGGTATTTGAAACACAGGTACTTAGGAATGTTGCTGCAGTCCTGTGCATTCTGAAGCCACATGGAGACTGGAAATATAAGTTACTAAGCTTGTTAGCCATTAAGGGATTATGTTGACAAAACAGTTACAGCTTTTAGGAGAACTGCTTCTTCCTAATTACTTGATCATAATTGAGGCCCAGAGAGCGAGTGGGGACTGGCTTCAGTTATCAGCCGTTGTTTGAAAAAAGTGGGTCTTAGTTTTCCTGTGCTCTTCTAACTATTTGTAGTAGTAGCATTGTTTGGCACAGAAGTTGACATCCTGAGCAGAATTTTGGTACAGAAGACTAACTAATGGCAAAACAATCTAATAAGAAAATACTGTGGTTGACTATGCAAAGTAAACAGAAAACCTAAAATAAATATTATTTTTGATCACCTGGTAGGCCTGCCATGTTGCAATAATAACATGCAGGTGACGGTGAATGCTTCAACAGTCTTGAATAAAGCGCTAGGATTAATACGTACAGCTTATGACAATCCAAAGCACAGTAATTAAAAATGGAGGCTGTTGTACAGATGAGTAGGCTGTTTTTGCTTTAGAGAGCTGCAGTGAAGGAAGTGGGAGTTGCAGAGTAAAGAAAGGGTGCTCACAGGGATCCACAATACGAGATGACTGCCTAGCCAAGGAATGTGGTAGGGCTAGTTGCAGAGACATGGCATAGGCATGAAAGAGGCTAGTCGAAACCACCAATAGTTCTCAGAGTTTGGAGGAGTGCTTAAGTTACTGTATTGTACACATTGAGTATTTTGGCAGTTTCCCTGAAAGGCCCAGGGGAGAGTGAAGCACAGTAGAAGTATCAGTCACCCCCTTGCATGTAAGCATGTCTGTCTCGCAAATTTGCAAGTCTAAGATACTGAGCTAGCTCTAGCTAGATGCTGATTTTCTTCCCAGTGCAATTCATTTTGGCTTTTTCTTTTCAGTAGGGTAGTTTTTTCCCAGTTTCATGTAGGAGGGATTCCACTGAAGAAAGATCACAGAAGAAAAACTATGCCCCTGAGACTTTTTTTCCCCCACCCTGGTATGCTTTGGTGATCTTTCATGAAGAGGCAAGCTTAATTACAGAGCTCTTTGCTCAAGTGTTCACACATACTTGTCCCATATTTCTGCTTTCTGCAAGGGATAATTGGATTGTTCTCTGTGGAGCAAGCAATGATACAGGATCTGTTCAGAATGCTTGATAAACATGTCTATAAGCATATTTCGTGATTGAAAGGAAATATTGGTTGTTTCTTCTTATGTAGGCTTAAGTGTCTCCCTTCTTTAGTTTGGAATGCCTTGCTTTTTGTTGAAGGAAGATACTGGTCAAATCTTTTAGTGAGTTTTTCTGTAATTTTAGTTAACCAGACTGTGTCATGTTGGTAATACTCTTTGTTGCTTGTGCTGATTGTCATAATTATTTGATCTTAAAGGATAAGTTGTAGGTTGATATTGTGTTTTGTTTTCCGTGGATTGAATGTGTTTTCTTACTTGATTCTGGTTTTTTTAGCTTCATGGTAGGTTCCCATTTCAACAGTTAACCTTAGGTTGAGGAACTCTGTAGATAAGCAGTGCATTACTTTGGGGGAGTTCTGCTTCATTCAAGGAAGAGCAAGGAAGTAGAAAAGGATTGTGGCCTTTGCAGATTTAGACAAAAAATAATGCTTGTCTACTTGTGTTGAAAGGTGTTTGATAATTTAAGCACAGTTTTGGGTGCAAGTTGCTCTGTAGGTGCAGGTGCTACAAGTTACTTGTTAGGAAAAACAGGCTGCAAAATTTTCAAGAATAGCAAGGCACAGTGAGTCTGTGATTTCTGTTGTTTTTTTTTTAAAAAACATAGTTACATTTGAACTATAAAACTGTAATAAACTGTATATGACTAGTTCTCCTCTGGGACTTCTATGTCCTCATAAACATTCAACTTTACTGAGCATGTCTTTTCAAAGGCTTGTTGACCTCAAATTTGTATTCTTAATCCAAATATTATAACTTCTGCTTAAAGGAATTTGGATATATTAGCATGATTTATAATTTGTCATATTTTGTTCAAGTGTATATGTGTGTATATATATTGTGTGGGGATATACTCATTTGGACTACTAATGCAATTATGAAAGTCTTCATTAATTGTGATGTGGTAAGGGCAGCTGTTAGTGTTCTTGTTTTCAAGCAAAGTCTGTTCTCAGTCTTTTCTTCACAGTTGATGTGTTTTAATGTTTCCCTCATTCCCCTTCATCTAACTTGTCTTTCTTTCCTCTTCAGTGGAGATAGTTTATCAACTCTCCAGACTACATACTTATTTCTCCCCCCATCCTGCATCTGCTGCTTCCTTCCAGGTGTACTTTGATGTGACAACACAGCCTAACTCAAGCTCTTCAGTATAACATTAGCCTTAAGAGTGAAGAACTAAGTTTACAAATACCTTGTTGTACATGTAGTTTTAGAATAAAATAATATTTTTTTAGAGTAAATCTTAACAATTTAGATCTTAATCCCTTTATTGCTCATCTTTCATCTATTTTAATTCTGAATTTTGTTTCTATATTTTTACAGACATAATGAGAATAATATTCTGATATGTAGATTAGCAAAAATTTGGCACATTCAGCCACATAAAAGGTAGCCAGAATTCAGTGTTGGGGTTGAATGTTTACACTTTATTTGGGTGGAGGGGGAAAAGGGAAAGAAGGGAGGGGGGTGGCAAGTTTTTGTTCTTCACCTTTTAAAGAAAAATATTTTCCTTGAAAGCTGTCTGCACTGTTCAGGCCTTACCACACTACCAAAGCAGCAGTGATCTTCTGAGTTGATCTCTACAGTGGCTTCTCTTGATTTTCACCAGGACTTTGCTGTGGGTGAGGAAAGTCTGCTTCTTCCATCATTGCTCCTCCTATATTACGAAAGAAAATGTACCCTCTGTGCTCTTTTCCACCCAATTCCCAAGCTCCCCCCTCTCCCCTTGGCTACATTAACTTAGTAACAGTGTTTTTTTTCTCAGGCCTGGCACTAATTATGTACTTGGAGGGTGACCCTCCCAGGGTACCGCCCCATGAACTGCTGTAATTCAGGTCACCTTCTCCAGGACTCATCTCTGTACTTTGTCTATTTTCTCATCTTCTTTCTTCAGGGTAAGCAGCGTTTCCTTCATCCGTTCTAATCCATAGTATTGGTTTTTTGCCTTTTCAATTTGTTAGTGTCCTTCCTAGTTGTGGGCCTAATGCTGGGTAGAAGCTGGAGGTTGGAGGATCAATTGGAACCCACTGTTGTGATGTGAACCAGCTCTGTTCTTACTGTGACACTTGCAGAATTATCTCTGGCTAAGCCTCAGATAAACCTGTCTAGTGATCCAGACTGGGTGGTGATGAATGGGTAGCTGTGTCAGTGCTTAAATTTAGAGTGGGTAAACCATGTTTACCCTCAGCTATGTTCTGGTGAGAGGTGCTTCATGAGCAAGTGGCAGAGACACAAGATGCACAAAGTACTGACCTTTCATTTAAGCAGAAGTTGCCTGGAGTCTTAGCTGTCTCTGAGTTTGTGTCCTCTAAAATGCTACCTTCTCTGAGTTGTATTTGGAAAATCATGATTAATCTTCACGACAGCATCTTTTCCTGCTGTTTGTACTAGATTTTACTCCAGGATGTTCCTACAAAACTGCTTGTCTCCATAGGAGAAGAAGGGTTGTTCTTTTGGAGGTCCCTCATTTCATAGTCACAGGTTGCTTTCTTACCTGGCATGAAGTAGTGATGTCCCTAGTCCAGTCAGTTCAGGGTTTTTATACTTTATATACTTTCCCTCTGCTATGTAAAAGGTAATTGGAGATTTCTTGCTTTTGTTTATGATGAACAAAGAGAGTTGCCAGAGACAGGCAGTTTTTCACTCTCTGTCACTTTTATCCACTTAATGACTGTGTTTCTGCCAATGACAAAGCTGTTGATCACATACATTTCTTCACTACAACACAAATCCATACAGGAAGCTTTTTGTTCTAATAACCTTGCATTTTAATTT